AGATGATGTTGTCATCATGCAAGAATAGTTTTAATGGTTTGCAATAAAATTTAGCTGATTTATTTTAGAGGTTTAGTGAAGGCGGGTCAAATGGCAAATTGTGTATACAGACTTCCAGGACTCAAGGAGCACTGAAAAAAAAAGAAAAACTATTTATTGCATTTACTATATCTTTTTATGGTATAGTGGTTGCCAACAATTTATATGGGTTTAATTTAAAGAAACAAATTAAGTTGAACTTTACTAAATTTAATTAGTTTTTTTTTTTTTTAATTCAGCCCATATAAATCGTTTGCAACCACTTACCTTAAAGGTACCAGAGTGTAATTTTAAAGCTTGGTTGTCTTTAAAAGATGCAAAGCAATGTGTGCTCATGCTTAGTTTGTAAAAAAAAAAAAAAAAATCATGTTATTTTTTTATATATCTTACTTAATATCTTGATTATTTTCAGCTACTCTGCTAACATGAAAAACAACGTCATATTTAATTTCCTAGTTCCTCTGCTTGGTCAGTTAATATAATGTGCTGTGATTCGCGGATCGACTCCACGTCACCAGGAAAAGCGTCACGCCTCAAATAGTATGCTCTTTAGCGCTGTGGAAACACTCAGGCAGAGTAGCTATTAGCCGTATCAGTTTGTGCCTGAATCAGACGGAGAGCACAGCTGAACCTCACGCCTGCTCTCTAAAATAAAATCTGACAAGTGTCTTTCGCATATATTCGGAATAAGCATGTGTAAGTAATATGAAACATTCTCATATCTTTTGCGAGTTCCTTATTTGAGATGTAGAACGCAGAGAAAGCGTCCGCATAGAGCAGTGGTCACCAAACTTGTTCTGGAGGGCCGGTGTCCTGCAGATTTTAGCTCCAACCCTAATCAAACACACCTTAACAAGCTAACAAAGGTCTTAATAGGTATGCTTGAAACATCCAGGCAGGTGTGTTGAGGCAATTGGAGCTAAACCCTGCAAGGACACCGGCCCTCCAGAACCGAGATTGGTGACCCCTGGCATAGAGAGTCACTGCAGCGCTGCTGAAGCACTTTGTGTAAGCACTTCTCTCTTTGTGCTGTGTCCTTGGAAGCCCAAATAGAGAAACAGAAGTAGCTTTGTGGAAATAGCAGCGTTTGGACGCCATTTTAGCTTTCTCTGCTGTAACATTACACCACCTCTGGCCCCGCCCCTTTGCTGCGCAGGGTGTATGTGCGTGAGGTAAATGTGTGTGTAACCTGATGCGTTTGTGATCTCAATAACCCAGATGTATTTTTTTGTAGTCCCCAGACTTCGTTCGCTGTAGGCTTTGCTAAACTAAAGGCTGGTTTATACTTCTGCGTCAAGTGATCGGTGTGACCCATGGCGCATGCAACGCGCGTAGCTGTGCATTCTTTGCGCATCTTACATTCAGACATGTTGTTTATGTTCACACAGTTACATTTTGCATCAACTAAACTTTAGAATATGATATTGTAGTGGACCACCCCTTTAAAAGAAATTTGAAATTCAATAAATATTTGCTTTTTCAGTGAGGGTTAAAAAGTCTCCTACTTCAGTCTTTAACTCACAGTGTTCTTTTTGTAAAGTAGCATGCTTGATTCATCGGTCGATGCAATTAGAGAGATATTATCTTATTTTACATAATCTATGGTGTGCAGTGGTTGTGTCGTTTTAATATTAATATAAATTCTGGCAACTGCTGTCAATGCATTGCCTAGCAAAGCACCAGAAAATGTGAACTAAGTTAACATGATACTTAATGTACCAGCATTTCCGCTGTGCATGGATCTGCCTTTCTGGAATGGAAATGCTGATTAATCAAAATTCCAAGAACAAAGGTCAGAATTCTCAGTTTTCATCTTGCAATTCTGCCTTTTTTCTTAAGAACTCCAACTTTATTGCTTGCATTTGTAAGCTTAAAAATTTGTAATGGAGTTATTCAGGTAAGACGTCAAAACATGGAGTAAAAAAAATTCACTACAAATATTATTTTACTCATAAACTGGAAAAAAACAACGATAAAACATCTTGTGGCAACCCATGGTTAATTTTTTCTTAAGGATTTGACTCATTCTCGAAGCACTACATTGGGTTTGTTGGCAATAAAATATGAATTTGCATAACTGCTTAATCAATTGGCATTAGCAAACTGAGAATTTTTGTTCCTACCATGGAGGTCCGGGGTTGCTCGTTTCCAACATTCTTCAGAATATCTTGTTTTGTGTTCAACAAAGGAAAGAAATTCATAACAGTCTAGAATCACTTGAAGGTGATGGTAAATGGCTTTATCGTAGCAAAAATGTGGTAACTGTAAACTGTAAGAAAATCATATACTTTATTAAACAAATAAAGAAAAACTTACCCTTCTTCATCTTCGTTTTCAACAAACCTGCATCTTTCTGCGTGCTCTATGAATTTATCCCAGTCAGTCAGTCAGTCAGTCAGACTCCTGATATGAATTTTCGCAGGCCAGATTATCACAAAACTACTTAATAAAAATGTGATACACAATCCTAATCGCACTGCAAACAATTCTACAACTTCCCCTCAAATATTTTACAAACAGATATTGAATTTAAACTTTGGGTGCTTTCACACTAGCACTTTTGGTCCGCATCCAGGTTCGTTTGACGTCATAGTTCTTTACGTTTAGCTAGTGTGAACGTGTCTTCTGAACTCGGGTGCACACCCGTGAACCGTACCCGAGTCCGCCTGAAAGAGGTGGTTTGGGGTACGGTTCATGCCAACTCTGGTACGATTCACTTTTGATGTGAATGCAATCGTACCAAATCACGGAAGTGAGCCGCCAACCGCCAATCCCGTTAGTGTGTGTGTGTGTGTGTGTGTGTGTGTGTGTGTGTGTGTGTGTGTGTGTGTGTGTGTGTGTGTCACGTTTCGTACCTTGGTGACACGCGCGGGACTGAGCCAGGGCAAACACAGTGATGTCTGCTTGTCTCCTCCAAAAACAGCTTCTGCAGACACTGTGGGATGTTCTGAATGTTTATAATATGTTTGCGGCTGATTGCTTTCTGTATGTCCAAAACCAACAGCTTTAGTTAAAGTGGAATGACTTATGTGCGAAAGTATTTCCATTTCGGCGCTTGCTTTCGTGACCGTCACCTAGCAACGGCCGTAAACAAAACAGCAGCTCGATGACGCAAGCGTACCCGGGTTCAGAAGGAAAAGACAGTATGGACACAACCAACCAATGAGGTGACGGGGAGACAATCGAACTTGAGTACGGTCCAGGCAAATGAACCAAGTGTGAAAGCACCCTTAAAGGTGCAGTAGGTGATCTTTTACAAAGCTAACAGCTTAGCATAAATCTCTGAATCACAGTTCCTCCCCTGTCGTCTAGTGCCACACCTCCATAAATACGAGCACAGCATAAGAACCCTCTCTTATGTGTTAAAAGCGACTAGTGCTTGTCCTGCGGCGAGCAAGCCAAACTGACATGCAATTTCAGAGTGACTATCAGAGTTGCATGGTAAACAATATAAGGAGAGACTAGGCGGAATAGCGCTATTTACTTGTGTTTTGTTGTTAAACTAATTAAAATCTACATCATCAATACTGTAAAAGGTCCCTAATGAAACTGAAAATAGTCTTATCAATCTTTTATTGGAAGATTTTAGTGGCTGAACAACACTTCTGTGAAGATATAACATATGCTAGATAAGTTGTAAGTTCATTCTGTTGTGGTGACCTCTTCTATCCCAAATTGCACACAATAGCCCCTTTCACACAGTGATACCGGTAAATATCCGGAAAATTTCCGGAACGACTTTACCGGTATATTCAAAAAAGCGCTGTTCACACAGGCGAGGACGTTACGGAAATTTTCCGGAAAAGAGCATTCACACATCCATTCCAAAATACCGGTAAATTCTGACATCATTCACCACAAATGAGCTTTAAACGGCTGCGCTTGTATTTGTAAACATTTGACTAAATTACAAACTCTGTGGATGATCAATATTGTGAACAACTTTCGCAGGATCACTTCAGATGTTCATAATATGTGCGTATGCAGGCGCTCATAGGCGCACGCAAAGCTTGAAGGTAAACAAAAAACGGCTTATCATAAGCATCTCATCGATGATTATTTACACAGTTGGCATTAAGAAGAACATATAAACGTGATCTGACTAACTTCTAGCAGCTAAATGTGTCTGGAAAAATATTCAAAGGTTTTTATCCTCACAAACCGCGCGGACGTAAATGCGTCTGACTGTTGTGATTGGCTAAAGCAGACGTCTCACGTCAGCACGTTCTAGACGTGCACGCGCTTATTACAGGAATCTTCCTTCTGCATTCACACAGCGCAGCATTCCGGCAAATTGCCGGTAATGTTACAACTTCTCTTTCCGGAAAATAGCCAGAACGAATTTACCGGTATTTTCAAAAAGGACCTGTTCACACATACAACCTTTCCGGAAAATTGCCGGCAATTTTCCGGAAAGGTCTGTATGTGTGAAAGGGGCTAATGATGTCCATCATCCGTATACCTCTAACCCATTTCAATGATATTCAGCAAAAATAAGCAGGACAGAAACCTACTCATGAATATTATGACGTTAAATCTATTAATATCAGAAAGCTTCGATAAAGCGATGGCACCCTCGTGTGTCAAGAAAGGGCAGTTTTCCTTCTTGGCTGAATGAGAAATGTTACATAACATGTCAGCATGCTCACAAAAAGTGCACGACGAGAAGAACTACTCTCAGGAACTATATGCCCTTAACTCGTAGCATTCAAGAGAATAGCATCTTAGCATCCTATTGTTAGCCACATCCAATTGAAACTATGTATGCACGTGAATAGCAGTGTGCTTTCTCGAAATATAAACAAGAGGCGTGGCGGAGGGCGGAGCTTAGCAGTCATGCATTGCCAAGTACTACTAAACTGATTTACAGTTCAACGTCGCTCCAAGTGTGACATAATATAGCTTCGGACGCTTTATACACGCAATAAATGACTTTATAAAAGGAACCAGTGTAATGATTGGGCTGTAATGTGACACAAAGAGCTGTCAAGAAGGGGGAGGGTCCCATTACAGCAGAGGTGAAAAAGCCCACGAGTTGTTCTCCAATGACAGCCCTGGTCTTACATTTGCCTTTCCAAAGTTGTACATTCGGGGTCCTCCTCCAACGTGGCGGTGTCGAAGAGAAGGGTAAAAATATTGCAAGGGGGTCTGAACGACTGGATTATAAGCCGAATCGATAACACTGAGTCTGCCAGTCGAAGATTAGCAGTTTAAACAAAACAAAAACGACCACAGGGAATCTCCCTCTGAAACCAGCTGCGAGGTAAGAGTCGGAGAACTTTGTCGCTGCAAGTTTTCTTCTCAGTGATCGTGACTGTAAACTTTTAAAGTACATTTCTTTTCAATGCAATGCAAATGTGAGGTTTTATTAGTTTTTCAAATAGTTTGTATCCAAAACGCAAAAACTAACTAGCACATTATTTGCAAATTGAGGTTGCTTGTGTATTCGCACATTCGTTTAGTGACAACTTATGACATGATTATTTTTTTAACCGCGGTAAAGTTAAAGTTAGATTTACGTTTGACATACTTTATACATTCGGTTTCAAACCAATTAAATTTCTTGCTCCTGTTATAGTTTGAGCCAAAAATATGTCAGACAGACATAAATGTGTGCCCTTTATGTTGCACAAGGCTTCATTTCTCGATTACAAAAATTAACCATACGAATGAGTTAAACAATTCAACCATATGAAATTATAGAACCAGTACCAGAATGTTTAGGAAAACATCCTGCCTATTGCACAAGACACTGTTTTTTGGAATGAGCACTTTATGATAGAATATTTTTTAAATCACTTTTAATGTAAAAAACAGTAAAATACAATTAAACTCTGACACTATTTGAGATAAAATATTCAAATCAACTCTAAAATTGCTTAAAATATTATTCTCTATGCTGCACAAGCTTTGTTTTTTTTTACAGCTATGCCTTTATTGATTTTATTTACAGTACTAAATCCATATTTTCAGTATACTGGATACCCTGTAAATACTTAAATCAATGAAACTCTCACACTGTTTGAGATAATATATTCAAAACAACTCTAAAATAGTCTAAATATTATTCTGTATAATGCACAACTTTTGACTTTTACAGTTATGCCTTTGCTGATTTTATATACAGTACTGAATCCATATTTTCAGTATATCAGTGACACTGTTAACACTTAAATGAATAGAAAATAATATTTAGAAATTGATTTGAATCTTTTATTTCAAATGGTGTCAGAGTTTAATTGGTGAAGAATCGCAATCGCAATTTGAAATGCGCAATGCGGTGGTGCAGTAGGTAGTGCTGTCGCCTCACAGCAAGAAGGTCGCTGGTTCGAGCCCCCACGTTGGAGTTTGCATGTTCTTCCTGCATTTGCGTGGGTTTCCTCCGGGTGCTCCGGTTTCCCCCACAGTCCAAAGATCACCTGTACAGGTAAATTGGGTAGGCTAAATTGTCCGTAGTGTATTCACGAGTGTGAATGGGTGTGTATGGATGTTTCCCAGTGATGGGTTGTGGGTGAAAAGGGCATCCTCTGCGTGAAAACATGTGCTGTATAAATTGCCGATTCATTCCGCTGTGGCGACCCCGGATTATTAAAGGGACTAAGCTGAAATAAAAATAAATGAATGAATGAATTTGAAATGCTGCGATTAGATAAAAGCAAGAGGCTGCAATATAAAATGTATACAAGAATAACAAATAACATCTCAGATGAGGGCTTCAAAATCAATCTGCTATACTTCAGAAAATTAAACAAGCTTTCTGCTATCGTGTCATGAGGCATCACAAACATGGTATCGATTGTCGTGAACTATGCCACATTACACGAGAAGAAACGATTGAATCTTGTGTCACGACGTCCATTCGTTTACGACTCCCCACGGTACCTTACGTCAAGGAAATCGTGCGGAAATCGTGTGATTTGACCGGGGCTTTATAACTAGCCAATTGAGTGAGCACACTTTCGTTCTGCCCTGACAAGTGGGGTGATGGCGTCTGCTGCTTCAGAAGCGTTAATAGACGAATTAAGATAAAAGAAAAACAGCATTTGTAATATGGGAATATTTTGGTTTTAAAGTCCCAGAAATCGAACAAAAACAGGTCATTTTAAGAGCAGTCGCAGAATTGTTGCCAAGGCTTACAGATTATAGAGCTGAAGCTTGAATTAAAATTAAAATCAGCTTGAAGCTTGAATTAAATTGTAAATCAAATTGCAATAGCAATATCTGTCAAAAATAAATAAATAAATAAAATAAAATAAAAAAACGCAATTAGATACTTTCCCCAAATTTCACAGTCCTATTACAGTACTGCATATAAAATCAACAAAGGCATAACTGTGAAAAACAAAGCTTGTGCATCATAAAGAATAATATTTAGACAATTTTAAACTTGATTTGAATATTTTATCACAATTGGTGTCAGAGTGTAATTTAAAGGAGAAAGTAGCCTATGAATGTGCAACTATAAAATCATCTTTATTCTAATTGTATATGCATTTGCAGAATCTCAATTTTGACCGGGCTATTGGATTTGGTGTTTAATACATTCACTCGATTATGTCCATACACACGTTTCTGTTTGTCTGATCACATTTGTTTAATTTAGTCAGCGTTTACAGTTTGTTTAGAGCTTGAATGAATGGATGTAAATACACTGGTGGTGGGTGATATGCTATTTTCATAGTTGCTTAGAATGGCATGTTCCTAAAATAGTGCCAGATGCCAAATTTGCACCTAGCTGGTGATGTTGCAGAATATTTCAGCTAAAAATACAGCTTTTTTTAATAGTTTAGTATGAATGCCTAGAGAATTTGAGCTTGCTACACCGTCAGGTAAGTCAAGTTGAAATGTGTTTATAAGACACTACAATCACCACACATATGAGAAAAAACGAATCTTAAATAAATACTAAATGAAACTTAATAGTTTGATAGTTTCAGTAACAATCAGAATCAAAATAAGAAAGAGCTTTTTTGCCAGGTATAGACACACATACAAGGAATTTGTTTTCGTGACAGAGCTTCTACAGTGCAACAGAACTAAAGAGACAGGACAAAAAAACAGACAATAAATATATTTTAAAAATAGAAGTAAGTAGTGAATGCAAATATACAAATTGACAAGTGTATGCACAGGTATATTACTATAAACATCAGTAACAATGCATTATATTTAGAAATCTTAAATATTATTAGCAGCAGACTGAACTAAATCTATCCATCCATCCATCATAAACTGTGTATACACAAGCATAAACATAAGTTCTCAATGAATTTGTCTAACAATATTAAGGTACAAAAAATGGAATAATCACAATGCAAAAAAGCTCTTCCTTTACTTTGAAAAAATTGATAGTTATTATCCATAAAACTAGCTAAATTACCCGATAATGTGGTAAGTAAAATAATATTGTAGATGTTGAAATTCTAAATAGGAAAAACTTTTTTTGTTGCATAAATCATATTAATTCTGGATAAATAATAATATGAAATAAACCTCCGTATATCATAATTTTTTGTACTCAAATGTTCTAAACTCTCTAGAAATGTTCAGTCACAGGCCTTAAAAACACGTGTTCTGAGGCTCCTGGTCAACTATAAGTCAGACTTAACATTGCCTTATTTTTATATTGTGACTATTGCAGATGCGCACATTGCCATATCGATGCTCAAGCGATATACTCTATTGTACAGCCCTAAAATATACTTTTTAAACAAAGGTTCTTTATTGTCATTTATGATTTCAACTAGGGCTATGCGGTTAATCGAATTCCAATCGCGATTTAAAACATTGCGATTAGCTAATCACAAGAGGCTGCAATATGAAATATATCCGCTTGTTAAGTGGTGACGTGTTTGTGACGTATCTAATACTGTTTCCGGGTCCAAGCCGCCATTCATTTAAATATAAAGTCATTGTGTACACAACAATCTCTGGGCTTGCTGCATAACAAATACCGAAAATTTAACAATTTATAAAAAAATTTATGACTTTCTGGCCATCGGATAATAGGCATGGACATATATACTGCGATCGTGATTTTCGAAAGCATTAAATCGCTTTGTAAACGTTTATTATTACCATTTCATGAGTCTCCCCATTCGATTGAATAGAGCGCTTGGACCCGGAAGCCGCTTCGCGTGACGTCACACTTAACAAGCGGATATATATTTATTATATAATTTCCCCCTCCCAGAGCAAAGGCGTGACTGCTGTCTATGTGTGATATTCTAACTATCCAATTAAGAAAGCACAATTTTGTTCCACCCAATCAGAATTTTGCAACCGAACTATGCGAAACGTCCACAATAAAAAACAAATAAACAAACAGGAAAGTACGGACGAGTGGGATGATGACATTTGCCTCAGAAGCATTAATAGACAAATTAATATCAAAGAAAAGCAGGACATCGGTAATATGGGATGCTGGGAACATTTTGATTTCAAAGTCACAGCTGCCACAGCAAGAGGAACTACAACAACCAGCACCTAAAAAAGCACCATAGGCAGCTATATGAGGAGCGTCTTGCTAAAAAGTCAACTAAAAAAAGTATTGCCAGTGACACTCAATCTAGTAGGAAACAACAACAAAGTACAATTTCAGAGTTGTTTCATTCATGTTTGCTGAGTGTTCTGTATTATTATTTTATTATTATTCTTATTATTATTGTTTGTATTGTAAGCTACACTATCTCCCTAATGTGAGTTCAACATGTCTACAGAAAAGTAAGGTCACTTTATTTGTGTTTACTTTTTGCTGTAGAGATAAATGAGTGTTTCATTTCTGAATATTTGAAAACAAATTTGAATAAATGTTTAACTTGAGTGTGTTAATATCTTTTCAGTTCTTTTTTTTAACTAACACTCACTGCATTTTAGCAGCAAGAAGCTATGATACAGAGTACTGAGCTGAAGCTTGACTACAAAATTAAATCTCAAATCGAAATTGCAATATCTCTTAAGAAAAAAAAAAAAAACACAATTAGATATTTTCCCCAAATCGCACAGCCCTAATTTCAACATCCAGAGCAACTTTTATTCCACAAAAGGATTCTTCTAGAGTGAAAAAATGTTTTTAAATGTTATTTAGGTTATTTTAATTGTTATTTGTAAAATGTTATTAAACACAATTCTTCATAGAAGTGTTTACTTAAAACTTCTTTATAGTGGATTAAAAAATTCTGGTTTTGTAACTCGTTTGAAACTTTTTTTTTTTTAAGTGTAACATAAATAGGGGTTAGACAATCACCAACAAGAAAGCCCAGA